TGGTGGCTCTGAAGGGAAGGAGCCAGTGAGCCTGACCCCGGGAGCGGCCATCCCCGTGTGCCCTGCTTGGCGTGCCCCAGGCGGCTTCCCCAGGCCCAGGTCTGGGGCCCCAGGCTCTCCCCTGCCTTGTGGCCACGCGTCCGGTGCTTTGGGTTTTTTAATGCCAGTTCTCAGTACAGAAGTGCATTCTTAAAGAGGTTCCAGCTATCACTTTTAACCACATATATATACATATATAGTCTATCTACAAAGTGGTTTATTTGCAAGATGTTTCAACAGTGAGCTTGGGCCCCGCCCGCCTTGTGACCATCTGTCCCCAGTCCTCGTCCCCGCCCGTGCCCTGGTCCCGAGTGGCGTGGGGACAGGCCACTGTATGTATTAAAATGACTGCATCAAATAAATGTTTATTGATTTTTTTTCAAAAAAAAAAAATCCTCTCCAGGCCAGGCATGGTGGCTCATGGCACTTTGGGAGGCTGAGGTGGGCGGATCACAAGGTCAGGAGACCGAGACCATTCTGGCTAACATGGTGAAACCCCATCTTTACTAAAAACACAGAAAAATTGGTCGGGTGTGGTGGTGCGCACCTGTAGTCCCAGCTGAGGGGGGAGAATGGCGTGAACCCAGGGGGTGGAGCTTGCAGTGAGCCGAGATCGCGCCACTGCACTCCACTCCAGCCGGGGAGACAGAGCGAGATTCCATCTCAAAAAAAAAAAAAAAAAAAGCCTCTCTAATCTTTATTTCCTTCCTTCTACTTGCTTCGGGGTTTTACTTTAAGGCGGAAGCTTAGGTTATTACTAAGATTTTTCTTTTCTGATACAGGTATTTAAAAACCTGTATAAATTTCCTCTTAACCACTGCTTTAGCTGCCTCACATAAACTTTTGATTTGTTGGCCTGTGGTGGCAGCACGAGAGCAGAACATGAGCTATGGCTGCTGTAGGAGTCATGGCAGAACCAGCATTTAGAAAGTTTCTTCCACTCTTCAGAAGAAGGTATTGGTTGAAAGGCAAGTATTGGTTGAAAGGAGTGCAGCAGAAACTGTAACCAAAGGAGACGTCAGGCTTATGAAAAATCTAAAGGAAAAGTACTGCAAGCAACAGTAGTAGCTGCTGGATGAGGCTATAAGGGAAAAGGTGGAGAGATTCAACCAGTTAGCGTTAAAGTCAGAAATAAATTTCCTCCAGGATAGAGAGACACCAAAATAGTTCTAGATGACAAGGACTGTATCTTATTAAGAGACAGCGGACATTCTTGAAAGTATGTAGACTGAAACAAACCACTATTGAAATGGCATCAACATGAAGCTGCCCATTGAAGTTCTGCAATCTTCCATCATGCAAATAATTTGTCTTTTATAATAAAACTGGTAACTAAATTTTTTTGATATATTGTATTTGCTTCAGTTCATAACATTTTGAAACCTCCTTTGTGTATTTCTTTGATCTGTGGGTTGTTTAGGAGATACTGGTTAATTTGGGTGTTTTCCAGTTTCCTTTCTTTTTTTTTTTTTTTTTGAGATGGAGTCTCACTCAGTCGCCCAGGCTGGAGTGCTGTGGCGCAGTCTTGGCTCCTGTCTCTTATACACATCTGCAAGCTCTGCCTCCCGGGTTCACGCCATTCTCCTGCCTCAGCCTCCCGAGTAGCTGGGACTACAGGCGCCCACCACCACGCCCAGCTAATTTTTTGCATTTTTAGTAGAGACGGGGTTTTACTGTGTTAGCTAGGATGGTCTTGATCTCCTGACCTCGTGATCCGCCTGCCTCGGCCTCCCAAAGTGCTGGGATTACAGGCGTGAGCCACCGTGCCCGGCCTTCCAGTTTCCTTTCTACTGTGGATGTCTGATTTAATCATGTTGCAGCCAGAGAATATACTTTTTATGACTTCAATCTTTTTAGATTTACTGAGACTTGTTTTATGGCCCAGCATGTGGTCTATACTGGAGAATGTTTCATGTACACTTGAAAAGACTGTACTTTGGAATCTCTGGGTGAAGAGTTCTTTCTTACCACCCCCGGCTAAGTTTTGTATTTTTGGTAGAGACAAGGTTTCTCCACGTTGGTCAGGCTGGTCTCCAACTTCCGACCTCAGGTGATCTGTCTGCCTCGGCCTTCCCAAAGTGCTGGGATTACAGGCATGAGCCACTGTGCTCGGCCATGTTTAGCTTTTCTTGTCTCTTGTATGTAGCGGAGTTTGTGTTTTGCTTTGTGAACCAATTTGAAATAGAGTAGAAATAAAGTGCACGGGCCACATGCGGTCGCTCATGCATGTAATCCTAGCATTTTGGGAGACTGAGGTGGGCACCCTGTTTGAGCCCAGGAGTTTGACATCAGCCTGGGCAACAGAGTTAAACTCTGTCCCTACAAAAATATTTTTAAAATTAGCCAGGCACTGCGGCACACACCTATAGTCCCAGCTACTCAGGAGGCTGAGGCAGGAGGATCGCTTGAGCCCAGGAAGTTGAGGCTGCAATAAGCTGTGATCGCGCCACTGCACTCCAGCCTAGGCAACAGGGTGAGACCCTGTCTCAAAAAAAAAAGAAAACACAAACAGAAAGTGGATGCCCATTCACTGTATGATATGTTTAAATTAGTCTCAACTCATGCTATTTTGTCGTATTTTTAAAAAAATTTTATAGATTCAGGGAGTACAGTGCAATTTTGATACTTGGGTGTATTTTCTGTGTGTATTGCATTATATTTATTATTTTTCCCCTGTATAGGCTCTAATTTTGCTTTTTTGAATTTAGGAAGTTTCGTTTTTATTCTACTAGTTATCTTTATAATAAAACTTCCTATAATGTACCTAATCCCCCGTTTTTGTACTTCTAGTATTCCCTTTGTCTAAATATTTTTGTACTGTACCCCACCTATTTACATAATACACTATGAGCAAATTATTTTCTTTTTTTCAACTTTTAGATTTAGGGGTACATGTGCAGGTTTCTTACCTGGGTATATTGCATGATGCTGAGGTTTGGAGTACAAATGGTCTCATCACCAAGGTGTTGAGCATAGTACCCAATAGTTTTTCAACCCTTGCCCTGCCTCCTTCCCTCCCCACAGTCAGCATCTATTGTTCCCATCTTCATGTCCGTGAGTATGCAGTGGTTAGCTCCTAATTATAAGTGAGAACATGCAGTATTTGGTTTTGTTTCTGAGTTAATTCGCAAGGTATAATTTACATACATTAAAGTATTTTACTTTTTAAAAACTCCAACCTCATGACAGATTATTCTGCTTTTTTTCTTTGAGACAGGGTCTCACTCTGTTGCCCAGGCTGGAGTGCAGTGCTGGAATCACAGCTCATGACTGCCTTGACCTCCCAGGCTCACATCATCCTCTTGCCTCAGCCTCTCAAGTATCTAGGACTACAGGTGCACACCACCATGACTGGGTTTTATTTTTTGTAGACATCAGGTTTCGCTATGTTCCCCAAGCTGGTTTCAAACTCCTGATCTCAGGCAGTCCTCCTGCCTTGGCCTTCCAAAATGCTGGGATTACAGGTGTGACCCACCATGCCTGGTCTTGCATTTCTTAATCAGATGCTTTCCCCTAGTGGTTTCCTCAGGAAGGGCTCAACAAGAAGTATTAAATTCTAATTTTAAATTGTTTTTCTATAACCTTGTTATCTGAAAGACTGCTTTGTGGATAAAAAATCCTTGAATCATATTTCCTTCTTCCTTCAAATCTCTAGAAAATGTTGCTGTCGAGATGACTTATTTTATCTGTGTTCCATCATCCTTAAGCTTCCTACTCCTCTTCACCAGGAAATAAGTAAGGAAATTAAATTTAAGCATCCTCCATAGCTTAACCCGTACTCTGAGGTGTACGTTATGAATGTTTTTATTTAAGTCATCACAAGGACAGTGTTCTGGAAAGATGCATGGAGATATTTCAGATTTAGATGTTGGACATCTCTATCTTCTGGGACTAACGTCTTATGTCCACAAGGAAAGACGGCATGAGGCCCACACATCAGATGATTATTATTTCACAGACTTAAAGATACATCTTCTCCACCCACATTGCAATATCTCTAATATTGGAAGACATCTTACAGCATAATACAGGTAGAATTATTTTCTTCTAGTACATAAAAAAAAAGTACACATGGTACAATTAGTGAAGTACTGAATTTGATGAAATACTGGTGTATTTTCTGTCCCAACTTGACCCAAAGTCCCATTTTTCCAGAGTTAGAATTTAGTCATAGACAACAAAAAGGTGGTGTGGTTCTCTTCTTCCCTGTGGATGTCCTGCTGAGTGGAAATGGGCTCCAAATGGTCTCCACCCTGCTCGCCCCAAGCCACTGCCTTTTAAAACACAGACTCATCGTTAGAGCGCTCTGGAAACTTCCCACTCTGTGAAAGAGAAATTTGTAACTTGGTCCAGATTTGAGATGACTGTACTTTCTCAGCATTTTGCTTCAGTTTGATGCAAATTTTACTGTTTCTAGTAGACATTTCTTTGTGGTATATATTACTGGATTATGGTCACTCTATAATTTTAACACAAAAATTTTACTTTTGGTTCTTTTTGTTTACAATGTTGGTTTTAAGGATTGAAGTAATGTGCCTGATCCGCCATCTTTCCCAGAAACTTATGGTCATATTTTCAAAAAGTTTATTACAAACATGATTTTGATGTTGCTATTTTGACTTAGGAAGTATTATAAAAGAAGCTGAAAAGTTATTATTTATGAAAATAATGGCCATGATATTTTTGTAGTCCTATGAGGTCAGCAGGAACCTAGGAAACTTCAGATACCATATACTCTTTGGTTGGGTGTGAAAAAAGGAACTAAGAAATTTAGCTGTTATTTTCTAAAATAAGACAAAACACCACACAGAGAACACTACCCCAGCGCAGAAGAGTTAAAATGAAGACACTCTTCTGTTGGATATATGACATATGCAAATAGACTAATAATCAGGAATGCGCAGAAGAGTTAAAATGAAGACACTCTTCTGTTGGATATATGACATATGCAAATAGACTAATAATCAGGAATGTAGGTTTATTTCATTAAAAAATAAAACAAAACAAACCAGACTCATCCCCAAAGAGAACTTTATCCTTCAAAGCAGCAGCCATCACAAGGCACATATGTACAAAATACCTCAAGCAAAATAGAAACTGAACATTCAAAAAATACGTGTTATTTAAAAAGATGTTGAAGATCATTTGAGTAATATGAGCATAGCTTATAAAAATGGTAATTTTATTCTTCTACCTTTAACAAGAGAAGGAATGATGGTGTCATATTTATATGCTATCTTGTGGCACATATAACAAATCTTTATACCACGTAACCTGGTTTGCTAAAGAAAAAACAGGTAAAGTACTGCTTAAAAATGGTATTTTTAGTGCTTTCACATCTTTTGTAGATATCGGGAATCTGTAAGCTGAAAAGAAAAATTATCTTTTTCCTTAGCTTAGAAAAAGCCTGTAGTTACATGTCCCTAGGCAAACCCACCATACAGAAAAGGAATACATTTGAGATATTCTAAAATATAAAGGATATTATTTATATTCTGGGATCAACATAAAAACCAACCCTCTTCCTAAAACAGATTAGAGGTGAACACATAAGAAATGTAAAGAAAGGTCAATTATATCAATTATATTAAAATAAAATAGCATCTGATTTAAATTATTGCTCACTTAGGAAGTATAATGAACATTCTCTGGCTAGGGATGCTCAGTTTAGAAATGGTGTGACATCAATACTTAGTGTGTACAAAAGTTCTAGGATTCAAATACAAGGCAAAGTTTATAATAATCACACAAAAAGTGTTCCTTTTAGCCACCATTTAGCTTCACACGACGAAGAGTGGAAAATCTGTGGTTTAATTAGATCTTCAACATAAATTTGTACCACATACGTTGAAGTGTTCCCCTTAGCTTTAATGCTGCAGTCACTTTTACATGAAATATTAAGGAGTTAAGGAGTGCTTACTGTATCATTACTATTAGAAGGGAGGGAAGAGACACTGAAGCTCCAGTTTTAAACGACAACAAAAGAATATAAAATACTAGTATAAGAAAACATTTAAATAGTACTAAATGCACAATTTAAATATCAGTTATACACTGTCGTTAGTTTTCCTCTTTAAAAAAATCAGTTCCTGGGCTTTTAGATGTGTTTTCTTTTTAAAAAAATAAGCATCCTTCTCATGGTCAATTGGTCCATATTGACATCATTTGGTAACAATCCTATCAAAGATCCACATGTTCTTGCTCTCCTTCAGGCCCCTCCGTGGCCAGTGGGAGTCTTGAGTCCTGTCTGCCTATTGTGTGGCAGGAGGCCACGGTCCTGGGACTGTCCCTAGAGCAGGACGGCCTGGGCCACCTCCTTGATGGTGGACGCAGCTCTCTCCAGTTCTTCTGCTGTTTGTTCCACCGTGACCACAACCCGAATGCTGAGAACAGTAAAGGACACAAAGAATTATCTTTGTGGGCCAGGTGCGGTGGCTGACACCTGTAATCCCAGCACTTTGGGAGGCCGAGGCAGGCAGATCATTGAGGTCAGGAGATCGAGATCATCCTGGCTAACACGGTGAAACCCCAACCCCATCTCTACTAAAAATAAAAAAAAATTAGGTGGGCGTGGTGGCGGGCGCCTGTAGTCCCAGGTACTTGGGAGGCTGAGGCAGGAGAATGGCATGAACCTGGGAGGCGGAGCTAGCAGTGAGCCAAGATCGCGCCACTGCACTCCAGCCTGGGTGACAGTGCAAGACTTCCTCTCAAACCAAAACAAAAAAACAAAAACAAAAACAAAAAACCAAATCAAAAAAAAACAAAAAAGAATTATCTAGGCCAGGCGCGGTGGCTCAAGCCTATAATCCCAGCACTTTGGGAGGCCAAGGTGGGCGGATCACGAGGTCAGGAGATCGAGACTATCCTGGCTAACACGGTGAAACCCCGTCTCTACTAAAAAATACAAAAAACTAGCCAGACGAGGTGGCGGGCGCCTGTAGTCCCAGCTACTCGGGAGGCTGAGGTAGGAGAATGGCGTGGGTCCGGGAGGCGGAGCTTGCAGTGAGCTGAGATCCGGTCACTGCACTCCAGTCTGGGCGACAGAGCGAGACTCCGTCTCAAAAAAAAAAAAAAAGAATTATCTATATGAGGTGAGGACCTGCGCTCACAGTCAGCCATCTATGGCCTGAGAGTCAAATCCACTGCCTCCTATTTCTGTAAACAAACCTCTCTTAGCAGTTGGCCTGTCTATTCATGTACCTGCTGCCCACAGCCGCTTTCTCACTACTGTGGCAGGTAGGTTGCTGTGGCAGGGACTCTGCAACCTGCAGGCCTTGGCGTACACCACCAGTGCATACCCAGTTAGAGTGAGTTGCCGTGGGCTCTGCCTCAGAGGCTGGGAAACAGCATCCTGTCCATCATGTACTGCTTCAGGCAGCCAGGCACAAAGCAGGAATTCCATCCTTCTCAAATCAACGAGAGTTGGATTATGCATATTTATGTCAATAGCAATGTGAAAGCTCTGTAATTCTCTAAGGTATGGCAGAAATGTTCAAGTTTTCAGGAAATCAAAGAAATAATAGCTTGAAAGGGCAATGCTACCTCTGTCCCCTCAGTTCCCTCTGCAAACATCTGCTTCATGCATGTGACACATATTTATTGAGCTGTACTATGCTGTGCATGGAGTCCCGAGGGCACAAAACCAGCATGGCTCCCGTCCTCATGCACCTACAGTCTTACTAACAAGTAAACGTAGGATGTAGGATTATACCTTTGGGTAAGTGCAATAAAAGATGAAGGGAGCGGCCCAGGCTGGAGTGCAATGGAGTGATCTCAGCTCACTGCAGCCTTCACCTCCCAGAACCAGGTGATTTTCCCACCTCAGCCTCCCAAGTAGCTGGGACCACAGGCGTGCACCACCATGCCCGGCTAATTTTTACAGAGATGGGGTTTCACCATGGTGCCCAGGCTGGTCTTGTACTCCTGGGCTCAAGTGATCTGCCCACCTCGGCCTCCCAAGTGTTGGGATTACAGGTGTGGGCCACTGCGCTTGGCTGAGAAGGGCAGGGTCTTTAAGGTGCTTTGAGCTGCTACCACAGTGATCTTCCACATCCTGGTCTGGCGCTCCAGGCCAGCAGAGCATTCAAACTCCCCGGTGGGCTCTCCTGCAGCCTCCCTGACTTGGCACCTGGCCTCAGGACCCTTCTCTCCAGCTCTTCTGCAGCTTCCAGTCTGCACTCCCAGATGAACCTGGAGGTCTCCAAGCCACTGACAACCCTGAGCAAAGCACACACCACCGCATCTGATGGAAAGCCACGATGCCCACCCACCGGACGCCCGACACACACACTTCTCCAGGCTTGGTGTAGACATCACCTGCTCTCAAAACCCTGGGCAATGAATGCCCCAGGGCAGAACTGACCGTGTCCATGCCCCCTGTTGTGACTGCCTGGCCCAGTGTTAAACATTCGTCTTTTACTTTTGGTGTTTTTTCTTGATGCTGCAGCTTTTCCCCACCGTTGCTTGGTTTTTCCCAGGTGTTAGTGAGTGTCGCTGACTGAAGGAGCAGCAGAGAGGTGTGCCCACCCCCACCCAACACTGCCGATCGTCCCTGCAGGACAGTCCTTGTGGCAGGAACTCCTGGTCCGGCATGTGCCACCTTTCAGATGTGGCAGATATGAGCTGACGGAAACTCAGTTTGCCCGAGTTCATTCCTGGGCTCCCAGACATTTCTCTGAGTTAACTGAGAGGGTACTCAGTGAGTCCTCGGGAGCTTTTCAGTTACAATTTAAAACACCTCTAGTTTAAGAGCAGAAAACAGGTAATGTACTACATTTTAATGACAGGTATTCTTCCTTAGCCTATGATAGTCTTTCAAAATTTTTCAAAAGATAATGTATTTCATAAAGCTCAGAGCAGGGGAAAAAACTAAGGTCATATTTGAATGTCACCGACCTGGGAGGAGGGAGACACTTCTCTTCCTTCTCCAAGTAGCGCGCCTGAGTTAATGCGATACTTCTGTTCATGCACTGCAGGAGGAAAAAGAACATGTCAGCAACCTGGACTTCAGACACGGCGGTAATTAAACCGGGCGAATGCTGAAATCCTGCAATGGTAGCTTTAAGTCACTTTTCCAATCATAATTGCTAGAAGATATCACCAAGATACTACACCACCACTTTGGCAGCAATGTCCACAGAACTTTCTGCGATGACAAATCCCTCTGCTCTGTAGTGCCCAGCAGTCGCCATGAGCACTGTGTGCCTGCTGGGCACAGGGAGATGTGGCTGGTGCTACTGAGAGGTCACAGTTGTGCCTTTTGTTTCCACTTAGTTTAAATTTAAACAGCCATAGACAGCTAGTGGCTACCATTTAGACAAAGCAGAGTTAGAACATGAGGAAATGGTACGAGCAAAGTCCTGCAGGCTGGACTTAGGACCACCACCACCAGTAGGACTGTGTCAGAGAAAAACCATTGCACTTCAGATATTAGCAAAAACGATGTCCACATGTGGCATCTGGGCATGGGGCCGCTGGACACTGCAGACTCTCGCGTTAACAAAGTTTTACACAGCTTTCCTACATATTAACCATCTGTCAACATTAAGAAAAAATGAAAACAAACTCTACTAAAATAAAGAAAGCATAAACACCAGAGCAAGGTAATAGGCTACAGTGTTTTCTTTCTGGAGTGATGAAAATGTTTTGGAATGAGATAGTAATGGTTGCACAACCTACTGCATGTATGATACTAAAAGCCACTTAACGATATACTTCAATAGGGTGAATTTTATGGTATGTGGTATGTGTGTTATATTAAAAAAAAGTAGCAACAGAGCAAAGGCCAGTGTAAAGGAAAGAACAACCATTCCACGTGTCTGGCAGTAAAGGTATCTGCCTGAAGAGGGGTCACGTCATAGGCTGCGAGGAAGAGATGGAAAACCCATACCAGGCAATGACAACAGCCTCCCGCTGACTCCAGGCTCTGGAAGTGTGCTTGGAAAAGTGAACTCCTGCAAACATCTGGACTGGCTCTGTTTCTAGCCCTGGCTGGTTAAGAGACACTATAAACAATAGCTCAGTTTGTAAAAACAGTGTCCTGTTGAGCAACTCAAAATAAACTTGGCAAAGCCTCTCAGATCTGCGAAACTTAAGTAAGAGTTACGGCAGCATGGTTCTTTCCTCTCCTTCAAATACTGAAAAGATGATGAGGCGAGTGGGATGAGAGATCCGGAAGATTTTACAAATGGAAGCTATGATGATGCACAGAAGTGGGAAGATATATATATATATATATATATATAAATGAAGTTTCTAGATAGTATTCTGTTCCCTACCCCAGACTGTTCTCTTCTCACTCAACTCGCAAGAGGATTTCCTTAAGAGAACCAGTATCAAACCAGGCCCAGAAGGAGTTTGAGATCTGTGAGCTGTCCACAGACTTTTCACTTCCTCTTTCGTTACGTGGCTAATCCTTGTAAGCACAGTATTTTAACACCGAGTTGCTTCATTCACACGTTCTCCTCTGCGTCTCTCTTTGGTACAAAGCAGTAATAAGACTTTAGCTGTTGCTATCTAATGAAAAGAGAACACAGGTGGATTTACTATGAAATGAATACACTGGCATCTGAAGGAGGCGACTGTCCCTCATCATGAAGTATGTGTGGACAACTGTCCCGATGCAGTTCGAGAAGAGACTCAGTGAGAACGGCGGAGCCATCACTCAGACCCAACACCAGCGTGTGCAGCTCATGAGCCTGCTCTGCGAACACAGCTCTCAGCCGTCCCGCTGGGGCAAGTCTATTGAAAACAACAAATTCACCTGCCTCATGAAGGTAACGAAATGAATGGGAATTTTACTGGCTTGTCCATTTAGTAGGTATTTAATTTATACATTTGTTTTAGTTTTCCATTTGTATGAGAACTCTAATAACAAACACGTTATGCTTAGTTTTGTGTTTGTATGTATTTAAGGAACGTCACAACACAAACGATGAGGTGGTAAAGCAGGCAGTGGGATGTTTTCCCTGTCGAGAGAGTCTTCATGTCCACAGAGTTATTCCTGAGGGGACATCAGCTGCATTACCTCACCTCACAAGATAAGCAGCTCCAGCCTGATCATTCATAATCTGACACGTTTCTTTAGGAAGCTCAGATCCTGGGGCTTGTTTTATGTTTTTGTTAATGTAACTGACTCTAGAAGGCCACAAATTTTATGCAGTTCTCCACAAATCTGTTATTCCAGATTATGTGGCTCAAACATTTGGGACATAGGACAGCTGAAGCCAGGTAGGCAGCAGAGGCTGCCCGCACACCCGGTCTGTATACTGCACAGCCACGTGGCCTAGAAGAGCCTGCCTGAGAGGCTGTATAGGCAGATGAGGCTTAGGACAGGGCCTGGCCTCGGAAAGGCACATGATAGGTGGTAGCTGCCATTATGACCCCAGAAACCTGGTAGCATCGCTCATAGCTACAGCCTCTGGACAAGGAAGCAGAATCATGCCCATTTGCATTCTCAAATACATACTAGGTATATGTCAGACTTTTCTAAAAGCAGCAGCAGCAGCAGCCCACATAAAAGTCCAGATTCTTCTGAAAGCAGATGTCCAGCATCCCAGGACTTGGAAGAGGGGAGCAGGGTGGGTGGCATTCCACTGCCCCTCCTGAGTCCTTCCTGCCCAGGTTACTCCGCTGCTCTTCCTCCCCCTTTTAAAGAAACTTCTGTTGTCCCTGCATCACTGTAAACCCACGTACCCAGGGCAGGAAGCACTCTGGAGGGGTAGTGCTGCCAGATGAAAATGGGCAAGTGGTTTCCCTGGTGATGTGTTTCTTAGACAACTAGTAGTAAAATAACTTTTGGAAGATACAAGAGCATCCTAACTTCAGGGTGACTGCGAGTGGACTGTCCCTGAGCTGTGCTGTGGGGACAGTCAGCTGTCCAGGAATGTGTGTGATGCCCACACACAATGCCTCCCCCAACTACACATAGGAAAGCCTGGCGTTGTAAAACGGTGAGCAAGTAAGTTTTCTGCAAGGCTAATTTTTCAGAGGAGAGGCCAAGTATATTTAAATGCAAAGTGGTACAAAACAGAATAACTTTGGAGGGAGCCACATATTGACCCAATGGGAGGGCCTGCTGCCCGTTACCATGGCCAGAAGCTAGGAAGGACCTGGAGGATTAAGATTCCATGTTCAGAGTGGGTCACCAGCATCTTCCTTTCTACTCTCTTCTCTCAGGGCAAACAGACTTTTCTTAAAAAATAACATTAAAAAATTGCTTGGGGCAAGGGCAGAAGTGGTGTGGGGGGATTTCCTCAAGAAAATGGATACTTACTTGATCTACAATTTCCTGAAGCAGTCTGACATCTTGCTCGCGAGACCCAGTGCTCTCTTCCAGTTGCAGGTGAAAGGCTGGAGAAAGGGACTCCCCCACCACTTTTAATCCAGAAATCCTGAAGAAGGGAAACACACACACAGCCATAAGTTCCTTCCAGGCTCCAAGATCACTCACGGAGAAATAATGTTAGAAGTCCACAATGTCAAGGCACAGTGAATGTACAGAAGCTTGCGACTGATGGGAAGCATTATTCCAATTCCAACAAAGAAAGCGAAGCGAGGCACCCTGGGCGGTGCTTCCTCCTCTAAAAAAGTTTGCCTGTGATGTGGCTTCCTGAGCGCAGGACTGGGTCTCATGGCCCCAGCCTCCCACCAGGGAGTCTGTGCACCGTACTCCCGCCTGGGCGCCCCTTCTTATAGGTCCTCTGGGCCCCAGCTTGGTCTGTCATTCCCTTGCCATGTGCTCCCTCGCCTCTGATGTTTGTTCTTCCCTGTGCTGGCTGCACATGCTGGGGCCCAGCTCCAGCACTGCCTGCTGCTGGGGCCTTCTTCATCACCCACTTTAGGGAAGGCTCTGCTCCATCATTTGCTATTTTTCATCCTGTCTGGATCCTTCACAAGCTACTCACTACAGTTTATGTTATGCTTCCTTATTATCTATGTCTTTAGTTTTTATTTTGTTTCTCATTAATTACAGGGATGATTTCTAATATTAACAACATTATGCCCCATCTCTACAAACAAAGCAAAAACAAAAATACAAAAATGGGCCAGGTGTAGTGGCTTGCACCTGTAGCCCCAGCTACTTGGGAAGCTCAGGTGGGAGGATTGCTTGAACTCAGGAGGTCAAGGTTGCAGTGAGCTGAGATTGTGCCACTATACTCCAGCTTGGGTGACAGAGTAAAACCCTGTCTCAAAAAAAAAGAAAAAAAAAAAAACCCAACAAAAACCAAACATACATTATATTTTGACTAATAGCAATATGTTTAGATAGAAAAATGTCCTTATTTGCATGTTATGCTTTAGATTTTACTTGGATTAAAATTATTTTGTTTTCACTTAGGATTAACAGCACAAAAATCTGTAGCTTCTCAAAGACAGATCTTTAGGGGCCAAATCCTGTATTTTTAAATTAAATTAAATTAAATCCTGTATTTGTACTATAGCTGTCAGGAGATGCTATGCCACGTTATTAATATCCAGTCAGGTTCATTTAAAGTCTATTTTATCCTATGATAACAAATATTATTTGAGTTTTGACCTACCTCCTAGGACACAAATGTGATACATGTCTATTTGAAACTGGGCTAAACATTTTAGATCCTTTCATTTAGTTTGTTTCACCTAAAATGATTTGTTTTTCCCTCAGAATGAAGTAACAACAAAAAGCACTAGGTAGCACAACTGAATCTTCCCAGTTTAGGACTCGACAAGCCTTTACAGAATGACTACTACATGTTACAATAATGTGAATTCTGGAAACTCATCTGACCTGGCCTTCCAATCACCCTTGGAACATTATTAATTAGCATCTCCTTCCTTTAAATATAATACATCATGCTAGATCTCTCAATAAAGCAGCCTACAGGTCTGAATCATGGAATCTTGAGGATGTGGAATGTGAGGGAGCCGCCTAGGTTAGTTCTTTACTAATGTAGAAACTAAGCAATACACTTTCAAAACCCATTTCCTGTGTAAATTCTGACCATGTTAAACACATACATCAAGTATCTTTTTTTTTTTTAAGGTCATATATTCTCAGAGTATTAAAAAATTGCTTTCAGCCAGGTGTGGTGGCTCATGACTGTAATCTCAGCCCTTTGGGAGGCTGAGGCAGGTGGATCACCAGAGGTCAGGAGTTCGAGACCAGCCTGGCCAACATGGTAAAACCCTGTCTCTACTAAAAATACAAAAATTAGCCAGGTGTGGTGGTGGGCGCCTGTAATCCCAGCTACTCAGGAGGCTGAGGCAGGGAATTGCTTGAACCCTGGAGGCAGAGGTTACAGTAAGCCAAGATTGTGCCATTGCTATCCAGCCTGGGCAACAAGAACAAGACTCTGTCTAAAAAAAAAAAAAAAAAAAAATTGCTTTCCAAATAGCATTTCATATGAATCAAATGGCCTCAATTTTCCTCAGGAAATACCAAGCGGCCAGGCATGATGGCTTGTACCTATAATCCCAGCACTTTGGGAGGCCAAGGCGGGGGGGAACATGAGGTCAGGAGTTCGAGATCAGCCTGACCAACATGGTGAAACCCCGTCTCTACTAAAAATACAAAAATTAGCTGGGCATGGTGGCAAGTACCTGTAACCCCAGCTACTCAGGAGGCTGAGACAGGAGAATCGCTTGAACCCGGGAGGTGGAGGTTGCAGTGAGCTGAGATCGTGCCACTGTGCTCCAGCCTGAGCAACAGAGCAAGACTCCATCTCAAAAAAAAAAAAAAAAAAAAAGAAATACAAGGCACCTGAGGTCCAAATCTAACTTGTGCTTTTTGATCAAATGATCTCACCTCACATGCTGGTAAGAGAAGGAATTAAACAAAATGCCCTATCTCTGGTTGCCTAGATGCTGAATGTCAGATGAGTTTAATTAAAACCAAACGGACACAGTTGTAGCTTGAGTTCAGAGAAGCCATGTTTCAGAGTCTATTACATTACTCTTTAACGAAAGACTTTGCTGGACATATCATCTTATCCCAATGGATAAACAAGCACTGGACTAGCTCCCAGGGACAGAGCAATCACCAAGGTAGCCACGGTCTACACTGTGTGCTTACAGTCTATAGGGAGAACCAGACACCAATAACTACAATTACAATGAAAACAGAGGCAAACCAGCATAGGATGTTAACTTCGTTTTCCAAACTCAATCTCAGGGATGAGAGAAGTGAAAAATTAGAGAAAAATTGAACAAAAAAATTACTCAGAACTAAGCATTGAAGATACTGCCTCTGAAAATATTTATCTTTAATATATTTATTAGAAAATAAGAAATAAAACCAAAAGCTAAATGCAGGAAGCTGAAGAAGAGTAAGAACACAATGCAATGAGACAGTGCATAAAAATACGGAAGAAAACACTATGCTGAAAACACACAAAACCAAACTTACACAAATAAAAAGTTAAAATAATATGGATATATGAGAGATAATCAACAACTATCCCCAAACCAAAGGCTCCAAGCCTATACGGCCTTAAAGTGGCAGACCTACTCTCAACTTTTGAAGAAACGATCAAGCCGTGTTTTACTCAGTGGAGCCATGAAGTAGAAAGAGTGGAAAATAGCCAAATCATCTACTGAAGCTACCCTAATACTGACTCCCATGTTACATAAAATTGGTATAAAGTTATAGATCCATTTAAATTATAAACATAGATATAAAAAGTCAAATTAAAATATTAGCTAAATAAATCTAACAATGGAGAAAAACATATTATAATGAAGGGTTTTCTCAAGAATGCAAGGATGGTTTAACATCAGAAAATATTTCAATGTAATTCAGCCATAAGACAAATTTATGATTTACCTTAATAGATGTTAAAAAAAAAAAAAAAAAAAAAAAAAAGGATAAAGTTCAACATTTATTTACGATTTTAACAAAAAGTCTTCAAATTTAGGAATAATTTAGCCAGGTGCAGTGGTACATGCCTGTAGTCCCAACTAGTTGGGAAGTGAAGGTAGGAGGATTGCTTGAGTCCAGGAGTTTGAGGCTGTAGTGTGTTGACTATATCTGTGAATAGCCACTGCACTCTAGCCTGGGCAACACAGAGCAATCCCGTCTCTTAAAAAAAACACAAAACAAAATAAAACTAGGAGTAATTTGATAAAGGCTACTCACCAAAAACCCATAGCATGATGTTTTATATTTAATGAAGAAGTGCTTCTATACTGGGAATAAGAAAAGAATGTTTGCTATTATTGCCACTGTTCAATACAGATTTAGAGACCCAGACCAAAGCAATAAAATAACAAAATGAACTAAGATGTAAAAGCATTAGGAAGCAAAGAGAGAACACTATTATTGCAGATAACAGGACTTCTATGTACATCATCATAACAGAATGAAACAACTACTGAAAATAATAAGAGTTTAGAAAGACTCCTGGATATAAGGTCAGTTTAGAGAAAACAGTAATATTCTTATGAATTAACAATAAAGTAGAAAATATAAGAGAAAAGACAACTCCATTTACAACAGCAACAAAATCTATAGGATGTCTGAAAATCCCCTTTAAAGGTTCCATGAAGGTACAAGGGCTTTATAGGAATTCCATTAAAACACACAAAGGGAGATTAGTTAACTAAAGAGCTCTTGTTCATGATGACAATTCCCTCCACATTCATCAGAAAATTTAATGCAATTCCAATCAAGATTCTAGCAATAACTTTGGAGGAACCTGTATTCCAAAACAGTAATAAAAACAGACACTAGTGATAAACCTGTATTCCAAAACAGCAACAAAAACAGATAAAATAAAAACAGTCTGAGTAATGAGCAAATATACCAATGGAATGGAAGAGACAGTTCAAAAACAGATCTAAGTACAAATGGGAACCTGGTATATGATAGAGACAGCAGTGCCAACCAGTAGGAGAAAGGATGTTTTATACTTAGCTAGACGTTATTCAGAAATTGACCTCAGTAATCTTAAACTGAAATATTCTTCTCTTGACCAATTTCTTTCTCTAGCCACTATCTTGTTTCTCAGTACCTCTTTAGAGAAAAACTCCTCAAAACAGTCATCTAAGCTGTGTCCAACTGTCTGGAACCTCCTTCAAGCAGGCGTTTTACCCCACACTCACCTGAAACTGCTCACCATGTCATAATACCTTTACATGATGAAGTCAAAGGATCAGTGTTCTGTTATCTGGTCTGGCCTGTAAGCAGTGGCATATCACAGGCTGACCTCTTACATAAGCAATTTCTTCCCTGGATTCCAGGACTCTAGGCTCTTCTAGCCTGCGTCTTCCTCACTGGTCACTCTTTCTCGGACTAGTCGTGGCTAAGTTTCTGACCTCTTCACATTGAAATGCTTCAAATAATATCTATACCCCAAGACTCAAAAATTTGTCTCTAGCTCAGTACTCTTCCTCACACTTCAGACTTGCACATCCAGCTGCTGCTCTGCACTCCATGTCTGACGGGCACTTCGGGCTTAACACAACCACTGCTGACCTTCCCCAGTAAGTGTTTCTCCCAGTTCTATCCCTCTCTCTCACTAGCGACTCTACCTACTTACTTTGACCAAACCCCCTAAGCTCCACCTGGAGTCTTCTCTTTCTCACTCACCCTGCATATGAACTGCTAGATCCAGTGTGCTCTCCCTTCAGAAGACACCCAGACTTCTCACGTCACAGATCCCACCATGGTCAGAGTCACCATCACCTTTCGCCTGCGTCAATCTCCTAACTGGTCTCCCTGCTTCTGTTCTTATTGCTGTTCAATGTATTTTTTCACACCATGCAAAAGTAATTTTGCTAGGGTATCCGATAGGGTGTGTCACTTTTTTGCTCAAAACCATGCCAGGACTTTCTCTGTGTGTCAAAGCTCTCATCAGGGCTCACAAGTCCCTGTGTGTGGATGGCCCAGGACCCAGACTTCATCTTCCACTAGATTCCCTACTCCTTCCCTCCTGTAACTTTGACCTCTTTGCTGTTTTTTCACTCTTCTCTGTAACCATCTAGATACCAGCACGTTTGCTCCTGCGACCCTTTTGAATGCGTGTTTGCTATGAGGTGCCGTGGAGTCTTCCAACTGTGGATACTGAGTAGGCAACTGAGTGTGAGACCTGGAGCTGCAGTGGTCCAGGGTGGAGATATGAAGCTGGGAGCTGTCTACATACAGGTGTCATGAAATGATGTGGAGCTCCAGGTGTGGAAGAAGGTAATGAGAAGAACAGAATCACAAACAAAGCCTGGAAGAACAAGGTGTTGAAAGAAAGCCTTCAGAGACCGAGATGGAACCATTCAAAGATGTAAGAGGAAATCCAGGCGTGCAGTGTAGCAGAGTCCAAAGAAGGAAAGAGTGGTCACCTGTGCTGAAAACTATGGGGACATCAAGATGAGCTCTGAAGACGGTCCACTGGATTCAGTAGTCAGTGGAGACCTCCACAAAAACAGTCCAGATGAAGGGCAGTAGCAGAAGCCAGGTCTCAGAGCTGCCAGTGCAAATGAAGACGTGGAGATGATAGCTACTGAGAGGAGTAAAGACATGGGAAGTTGCAGAGGGAAATGTCGGGTGACAGGCAAGAGGAATTTAAAGTGGACGTGACTGCTAATCAAATGATGCAAAAAAGGGAACAGGCTGATGACAAAGTAGCAGGGACAAGCAAAGGCACTCAGTCCTTAAAAAAGGGCCTGTGGTTGTTGGAGCAACATTTATTGGTCTACAGGAGGGAAGACTGGTTCAGATACCATAGGCGTGTAGATTTGTCAGGAAATATGACAGAGTCCCAAGTGACAGCATAAGGCCAGGTTGTTAGCTGAAAGTGAGGGGAGTGAAGACAGAGGGTTAGGAATTTTGGAAAGAAAAAGTGTGACAGAGCTGGGGAAAGTGGAGGATTGGACTTAGAAACTAAGACAGGTTAACACCATAGAGTGAAGGGTATGTGAGGCTGCCGCTGATCAATTTCCAGTGACTCCAATACGCTAGGCTGTGTTGGCATATTAATATTTCACAAACCAATGGAACTGGAACCAATACAAATATATCTCCCTACCATAAATCATGCAAGAACTGCTGTTACTATCACACAGACACACCCAGAACTTTAATTGTCTCTGCCCCTTCTTTATCTGGAACAGCTGTGATGTACTCATTTATCAATTGTCCTTTTCTTTTAGTTAAAGTCTCCAGTTTCCGTATCTGGAACAGAGAGATGACTTTCATGACCAAGAAAGCATGTCTCACCTTAGGAAAGGCAAAAAGAAATACCTTGGGCAACGTGAAATCAGTTTCTATAAGACCAGGAATGTGCGTGGAGACAGCACCAACCTCGATCTTTTTTTAACTACAGAGGAATCTTAAAGAGTGACTCTTGTGTAGTTTAAAAAAAAGAAAGAAAAAAGAAACACTCACAAAATTTCACTTATTTTTCTTGTGTTAAAACTTAGTAATTTACTAAAAAGTAACACAGATGGTATGAACCCAGTCATCTAATTATGTAATATATAATGGCATCCCTGTATGTGTGCGGACATGGAGAGATGCTTCAATGTTTACCCTGGTTATTTCCAGTGGTAAGACGTTGGGTTGTTATTTTCATCTTTCTATCTTCTGTACTGTTGTAATATTTTATTAATGAGTTTGTTTCATTTTCAGAAAAACAAAGTCATGATTCTTTAAAACAGATGATCTGGTTCTATACAAATAAACCAATGTGAGTGAACTAAGTTTTTGGTTTCTTAGTTGCAATTTGGTCAAACTGACCCAAGCCTATAAATTTAAAACTTTTCATTAGTTGTTTAAGTGTGGTGCAGATAAACTTTATGTTGGTTGAAAATATATAAAACTCACCCTTGTAAAGCTTTATGAATTTGTCTGCACTTTTCCTTCAACACTGCAAAAATACCTAGATGAAAAAAATACATTTGAGAGTCTCCTTGGAACGTATGATAGTACTAACCTAAAAATATTTTTGAAGACCCAGATCAAGTTCATCAATTTAAAATGCTGCAAATCCTTCTACATACGAACAGAGCCAGGAACCCATGCTCCCCTGAAGGCCCAGGCTTCGTCTCTGGTGCATGCTAACTGGCCCCTTCTCACCTCACTATCCCACTTTTGACAAACCTGGAATGATGCTTTCAAGAGCAATCAATGCCTCTTGCTCTCATCAAGATCCTACAGGTAATCTGGCTAAGAATCAAAGGGCACAAATTTACTGCTTATTTCTTTATCCTAAACAATTTGGTAAAAAATCAACTGTAGTAATTTTTACATTCTTTTCTTGATATTTTCCTTTTTTATTCAAGGAAAATCCCAAAACTAAAGTATCTGAAGAGAATTTAGGAGTGCCAGGCCATCTGAGAAGCAAGCATATGAATGAGCACAGAGACATACATCTTTTGGTTCTCTGAATTAGTATCAGCGATGAAGATTCAGAAATACTTTACCGGGTAGGGCCTGCAGCTCCCTTTCTGTTTTAAGCTTTGCAGAGGTGGCCCTGTCATAGCCAAAGGCCACATTTTAAATCCTTAGACTTTTTATTTTTCCCACTGAGTAAGTTCTTTGCTGGTAAACCGGGCTTGGCTTCGGTACCAACTGATGATTCAAAGGCTAAAGGCGAAAACTCACAATATTTATAAAATTACACAGATAAAAAAGGAGAATGCTTCAGCTGATTTCTCAAAAAACTATTAACCAAATAAGGACTGGCTTATTTACACCAATGGAACGTTTAGGCCCAGAACTGGCTGAGAGCCCCTCCTCCTCCCAGTATCTCCACCCACTATCTGAGCCAGCCTTGCTTTGGCTCCGGCTCTGGCTCTGGCTCTAAGCACAGGAGAAAAGCTCTGACCCCAAGTCCCCGGGGCAGGAACAGCTTCTTCACTGCCACTCTTCCTACGAAGGCCAGATAGTGTAATTGCAAACCAGTTTTGTCTGGCAAATAATTTCTCCAGTAAGTAAATCCGTAACACAACTAATGTAACCTGCAATCTCTTTGATTTCTCGGGTTTTTCAAGGGTTATACCTGGATTCTCTTCCATGATGTTGAGGGCCTCAATTGCTGCAGCAGCTAACAGGGGAGGTAACGAAGCTGAAAAGCAGTATCCCTGGCCGGAAAGTCGCTGAGAAGAAACAAATCAGTTGAAGACACATATATACATTCTCTGCCCTTTCTAGGTAAACATTTTTAAGGCATCAGTTCTCTAAAACAACTACTGAACAGCGTGTACATGTGGTGACGGGGGTAAGATCCAGCCATAAATAAACATGATACGTGTAACAGAAACAAGATTTTTTGTTAAATGAGAAATCATTTCTAAATAGAAAGTATTTTGAATGATTCTTTAAAAATTGACATTTAAATAAAAATTGTGTGATAAACTAAGTAAAATTTTGTATTTCAAAGTTATATTTTGAGGTGACCAATGGAGAAATTAGTTTCAGTTTTAGCTCCTTTTTTAAAAAAGAACCCACCTGATGGTCAATTACAAAAGACCTGCCACAGCAGAAACCTCCAATAGAAGCAAGTGCATTCTCCATGTTGGCACTGATAAGATCAATATCATCAATCTGCCAGAAAA